GTTGTCATGGAGTGGAGAAGAACCTATACAGCTCAAACGGTCAAGTTAATTCAGATCTTAGATGCCATTCTTTCCTCACATGCAGCCAAATGAGGAAAAAAGATAGGGGGGCCATTTTCTTTAATTCCAGTACTTCAGAAACTGAGAGGGACTAAGAATTTCATTGCATTCCACTTCTTCATGTTAAGAGTGAGCAACTATGCTTTCTCTAAGGTCACACAGAGAAGGAATGACTGGAAAGCAGGCCCCTGGGCTTGCATCCTAACACTTGAGTCTTACCCAGATGCCATTCAGAAGAGATGCTCTGCCTTTTGCCCTGTGAGACTGGTCAGACCTGCTTGACAGAGGGAGCCACTGGGTTTGCTTCTGGAAAGAAGCAGCCTCCTCATCTAGGCCAGAGAGCTGACTCCAGCCTTGGCTCCTTTAGCCCTTGGGCTCAAGGTGAGACCGCTGGTAGTGGACTGGATAATTTTCTTGCCAGGCCTTTGTGACATTAGAGCAAATGGAAGGTTGTCTTTCAGTTGACATCTCTCTTTGAAGGGAGAGTTGGACTGTACTGCAGAGAGGTGGCTTTGGGCCCACAGAAGAAGGGGGGTCAGGAGGGTGAAGTTGGTAAGGAAGTGCTCCCAGGAGAGGTCCCTTCTCTACCCACTGTTGACTTCTCTGCTCTTAAGGCCACAGGGTGAGGACTGGGGGTCACAAACCAGGGAGAAGAGAGGCCGACTTGATGGTCAGAGCGAGGGTTAAGGTCTCACCACTCCTTCCAAAGCTTTTCCTTTTCTCAGGACAGGGACCAGTCCTCACCCCACAGTTCATGAGAAGAGTGGTGGGAAGGAGTATAGACTGTCACCAGGGAACTGAAGGGGAAAACCTGTGTGTTTGAAGGCAAGGCAGACTTACACTTTACATTGGCTTCCATGCCCTGTGCTCCCTGTCAGCTCCCTGGGCCCATCTTTTTTTTTTTTTTTTGGTAGAACTGGTGTGGAGGCCTAAGGTTTGGGGAGTGAGATGATTCACCAGAGACAGAGTGGGGGGCAGAACAGGCAGATCCATTGAACTACACTGCCGAGGGGAGCAGCAGATGAGACAGGAGGAGTCTGCTGCACCATCTGGGTCAGCTCCCTGGCCATCGTGGTGACAGTGCTAAGACTTAACTCCTGGGCCAGCAGGGAGGCCCCCATCCCTTCTGTCAGCCACATGAGACTCGTGTCATTTACCCAGAACTGGCAGTTAAAGCTGGGAAACCAAAGGATGTGATTTCAGTCACTTTGCTCTTTCTCATGCCCAGATTGCTCTCAGGCCAGTCTCAAGTGGGTCCAGAGGCCCTGGCATGTTAGGGAAATAAGTGGGTGTGTCTACGGGTATTGAACTTTTTCTTAAGAGATACTGCATTGGACTTGGCTGCAAGCATGGCCCTGGGGGAGAGCCTTGGTTTTCATTTTTGGAACTCTCTCGGAGACCTCAGCAGGACTAGCAGGGGCTCCTGTTCTGAAGGGCCACCTGAGTCCTTGCCCCGCTGTCCGTGGCCCCTGTGAGGACTGCCTGCCTGATTTTGCCAGGTCCTCAGTGTGTGAGGCTTAGGCACTAGCAAAGCCTGGCTGTCAGGTCAGGATGACTCGAGCCACATTGGCTTAGGGTAGTCACCTGGCCCAGCACCTCCTAGTTCTGATAAGACGGTGGGTGTGGGGGCCTGTCAGGGAGTCTGGGCTAGACTTCAGACAAATGAGTCCATCAGCATTCTGCACACCGTGCATGGACACAGTAATTGGAGAGGCGAGCCTCTGGCGGAGCAGGAGGGGTGGATCAATCTGGCTCGCATTGGTACTAGCAGACCAGCAGCAGGGGTCGATGCCTGCTGTTAGCCTGTGCCACTCTGCAAATGGAGATGGTTAAGCCCACCAGGCGGGTCTCTGAAAGGCCCCGCTCAGACTGCATAGGACTGGTTTGGAGCTGCAGGGGGCCTTGGTTTGCCTCGGTGTGGATTTCTGTTCCTCTGGTCTGTCTAGGGTTGGATTCTTGGCTTATGGATCCAGGCCCACTATTTGTCCTCTGCAGAGGAGTTGCACCCCTTCCCTCTTGACTGGACCAGGGACAGAATCCTTGTCCAAGCCACATTTGGGCTAGTCTGGGTTGCCCCCTGGGTCATGGGGCTGTTCTGCTTGCAGGCCTCATGAACAGTGGTGTGTCTGTCACTACTTTCCTTTTCTCGGAGGCCATACAAACTGCAGGACAGCACCGGTATTCCCATGACTCACCTCTTCAGCTTTAGGATGCTGTGCCCATCAATAGCTCCCCCCTTTTTAAAAAAAATTTTTTTTTTGAGATTTATTTACTTATTCATATGGAACTGGGATACAGGCCAGAGATGTGGAGGGTGAGAGGATTCACCAGAGAGGGGAGCAGAACAGGCAGATGGATGAAGTCCACTGCTGAGGGGAGCAGCGGGCGGGTCAGGAGAGGTCTGCCTCGCCATGTGGTCACCTCCGGGGCAGGCGGGAATCGAACTCATGCGGAAGTGGCTTTAGCTTCTCAGTGCTGTGCTTTAACCCGCTGTGCTACCAGGGAGGGCCAGGATCTGCATTTCTAACATGTCCCCAGATGATGTTGATGCTGCCAGTCCAGGACCACACTGTGAAAATAAATTAGACTTTCGGGCCCTCCCTGGTGGCGCAGCAGGTTAAATTACAGCACTAAGATGCTAAAGCCACTTCAGCATGAGTTTGATCCCAGCCTGCCCCAGAGGTGACCCACATGGCGCGGCAGACCTCTCCTGACCCGTCCGCTGCTCCCCTCAGCAGTGTACTTTGTCAGTCTGCCTGTTCTGCTCCCCACTCTGTCTCTGGTGAATCCTCTCACCACCCCTGCACCTCTGGCCTGGACCCCAGTTCTGTATGCATAAATAAATATTTTTTAAAAATTATACCTTTACTGTAAGATTTTTATTTATTTTGTGTAGAAGAACTGGGGGTCCAGGCCAGAGGTGCAGGGGGTGAGAGGATTCTCCAGAGACAGCGTGGGGAGCAGAACAGATTTCACATCTACTGAAATACACTGCTGAGGGGAACAGTAGGTGAGACAGGAGAGAGCTGCTGTGTCATCTGTGTGTCAGCTCCCTGGCTGGGGACTGAACTCAGGCTGACAGAGTGGGTCTTTGCGGTGGCCGTGCTGGCACTTAAGCCCTGGCCCACCAGGAACCCAGCAGCCCCTTTTGCCTGCTGCTTTCCGTCTCCTAAATGAGTGAACAGGGGCCATCTCCAGTGGTTGTGTTCAGCAAGCCATGTGGCTTTCTTGAGCTGTGAGGCAGAAGCTACTAGGACAGCTGTCTAGTCCACTAACCCTGCATATTGGCCTCAATACTGGCTCCAGGAGCTATCCAGGCCTGCGGGGAAATGTGGACCCGCTGCCTGTGTGGGGGAACTGTTAAATACTGCACCCCATCACTGCTCTTAGCAAGATGCATGTTCCTGAGATCCTGCCTGACTCCCCTGGTCCTGAGCGCCAGCATTTCCCTAACAATTACTAGGAATTAGTGCATTGGTGAGGAGGACCCTGTTCAGTGACTGTTAGGAAACATGGTTTCCTATTACTCTAGCTCAGCTTGGTATAAGTTGAGATTTGCTACCCAAAGGGCAGCCAAGGATAACAACTGCAAGTAGACCTGCTGCTTCATCAGGACTCTGGATGAGTGTTCTCCCTGCTTACCCCTGCACGAGGGCATGGGGGTGGTTGGAGTTCAAGGGAGCCAGGTAGCCTGGTCAGCTGCTGAAGAGACCTGCATCTGCTCCAAAGACGGGCACTCACTTTAGGGAGTCCCCTGGTGTTCAGGGGTTCCCCCGTAGGGTAGTATAGGCCAACCTCACCTACTGGGAAGGAGGGTGATGGCACCCTTGGCATCCAGCCACGCCACTGCAGCAAAGATCTGAGCTGCCCACTTTGGGGAGCATCAGAGCCCATACCAAAGTATTTCTGGAGGATGCTGGGGTACAGAGCAGTGCTGCATCTGCCCTCCTTCAGCCGAGGGGCATCAGGGCTCGGCCTGTCCGAGTCTCATAGCCTGCAAGCAGTCCCAAGCGGGCAGCCCGCCACGGGGTGTTTACTCGCCGAGTGTCCCTCTGAGTGCCTCCTGTCTGCCTAGCACCGGGCACTAGGCTCATCCAGCTCAGCACTGTCTGATGAGGACAACAAATTTGAAGTTGCTGAAATAATTGCTTAGCACTAAGAACAAGCACTCTTTACCCTGTGTATTGAAGGGCTCCGCCTGGTGCAGGCGGCCTGTGCAGGCCGAGGTGGGGAGAAGCATAGCTACTTGATGTGCAGCCCTGGCTGCATGCAGCTGAGCAGACTTTTGGGTCTCTCTGGGACAGAATATTCTGGAGTGAGGCCAGCACAGACTCTGCCAGGAGCCCTTGAGTGGCTGAAAGTGCCTCTGAAAAGGGTCCCTGCTTTGTTCCCAGGACCTCCGAAGCTCAAGTTCGGGTGAACTGCTTCCTTTTCTTCCCGCGACTGGGAGGGGAGGAGAGCACAGAGGCTGATGGCAGGGAATGCAGACGTGTGCACCTTCACTGTGTCATTTGGAGGGAGGAACTAGAAGGGGTAGGGACTTCACGCGAGTGACCTGGTGTGAACATCTGGGATTGGACTCTGAGGTGACTCAGAATGATGTGCTGAAAGGTTTGGGTCATTTTCTTTGAACTTGGAGTTATAGTGATCCTGGGGCAGGTTGGTGGGTCTTGATGACAGGAGCGCCCTCCCTGAACCAGGTTTGGAGTCCAGGGCACCTTAGAAGTTTGTCCTCCTTAGGAGATTCCTTGTCATCCAGAGAAACCTCTGCTCGGTGGCCTTGGGTAGGGAGGGAGACCCACAGTACTCTAAGCAGGGGAGCCCCCTCTCTCTGGGGGAACGTGCGGGGCAGCTGGGCAGACACAGTGCTGTGGTGGCACCTGTTGGCAGGAAGGGCCACGTTGAGTCTTCTTACGCTAACCCTTGTCTTTGGCCTCTAGCCCTGGCCCAGCGTGTCCAACCTGGCCAAGGATTTCATTGACCGCCTGCTGACCGTGGACCCTGGCGCCCGTATGACTGCACTGCAGGCACTGAGACACCCGTGGGTGGTGAGCATGGCAGCCTCTTCATCCATGAAGAATCTGCATCGCTCCATCTCCCAGAACCTCCTTAAACGCGCCTCCTCCCGCTGCCAGAGCACCAAATCTGCTCAGTCTACACGTTCCAGCCGTTCTACGCGCTCCAACAAGTCTCGCCGAGTGCGGGAGCGGGAGCTGCGGGAGCTCAACCTGCGCTACCAGCAGCAGTACAATGGCTGAACCTCGGCTAGTCCAGACAGCGTGCTCCCAGCCCCGCCAGCCCTGCCGTGCCATCTGGGCCCAGCTTCCTCTCTGGAGGTGGCCTGTGTGGCTTGTGGTAGGTGAATATCTGACCCCAGCCCCTTCTCTCTGCCTTCAGTAGCCCTCGTCCTCATCCTGGGCCAGAGCCTGCTGTGAGAGTGGAGGGAGCTCAGGGTCTATGAGTCCCCTTAACGGGAGCCTGCCCTGGCAACAGATACTCCCTTTGGTTGGTAAACTGATCGGATACAGCGGGGAAAGAGCAGAACCTGACCCTCCTCAGTCTCCCTCAACCTCGGCTCGTCCCCTAGAGCAAAGGGAAGTGTAGTGCTGGGGAAAGGGCATCCTGTGGTCCCAGGACTCTTTGGGACAGTTACTTCTGGAAATACCTTTCTCTACTCGCCTTCCCCCAACCCTCCCCCACCCCACCACCATTTCCACGGCATCCAGATCAAGATTATTCTCGACTGAGAGGCCCAGGTATGCACCAAGCTTGTGCCTTGAATGGAATCTCAACTCCTGGCTAATTCAAAACAGACCCCTCACCTCTCATCAAGACCTGTCTTCCTTCATGGTGCCCCCAGGACCCCCCCTGGCCCCAGGACTTGCTGGCACATTCTGTAGGGCCATGCGTGATCATCGCCATTCTGGGCTGTGGCCATGTGGGTGCCAGGCTTGTTGCAGGCTCCAACTGCCTCTGACACTGACAGGCTTTGTGCCCGCTAGACTAAGTGCCTTTTCTGCAGAGCCCACCTTTGCCTCCCTCCCTTTCCTCACCCCTTCGATGCCAATTCTATTCCCCAGGTGCCTCCTTCCCAACTGTGGGGAATTAAAGTGAACCCCACTGCTGCTACCTGGGGCGTGGGGGCACCTGGGCAAGGCAGAGGACACAGGCTTCCTACGGAAAGTTGTTGGGGTCCAGAGGCAGCCCCATGCCCCCTTGCGACTGCCCGTTGCCCCTTCCTTTCAGTCTGTTCTCTGTTCTGCAGCGGCATGAAGGCGCCATCTAGTGTCTGGCATATGGGCAGCCTAGAAATGAGCTTACCCTTCATCCTCCCAGAGGAAGTGGGAAGGAAGGAGCTGCTGCATCTAGGGAGGGTCCCCGTGCTGCTCAGCTCTTCTGCTGAGCTTCTGTGCAGCAACCCCTGGAACTTAGCCATACTGTGTGACCTGCCTCTGAACCCTGAGTGCCTGGGGCACTGGCCTTCTCACAGCTGGTCTTTCCCAGTCCAGTCTGGCCCTCTTCCTTTCACAGCATTAACTTGTAGTCTGGGCCCCACTGAATCTCAGGCTGGAAGGAGCCCCTGTGGGAAGTGGGTGGATTTGGGTGGCTGCTTTCCCAGAGGCCTGAGCCAGACCATCCCGTGTCTGTGGTAGTGTCTTCCACCAACCCCACACCTTACCCCTCTACCCCCACCCTCCCACCAAGCTGGGCTGGAACCCAAGTACCCTCCTCTGCTGCTTTCAGTGAGTAGGAAGGAGGCAGGGCCTGGCTTTCATCTTAGCTAGACTGCAGGGCCCTGCCAGCAGGGAGGGCTTGGCCCTTACTTAGTGCTTCTGGGTGGGTAGCCTTGAGCCAGCCCCCCCCCCTTCTATATGTGCCATCTCCCGTGGGGAAGCCAAGCCAAAGAGACCACTCTGGGCCAAGTCTGTTGTGCCTTATATACCCCTTCTCTCTGTCTGGTGCCCCTGGCCCAAGGCAGTGGAGACCCCAAGCTCCATGGTCTCAGAATCCCTCTTACTTCCCCAAGTGCCTCCGGAAGTTTGAGGGATTTAGCCCTTGGGAATTTAGTTCCCCTCTTGCCAGGATAGGCCTGGTCTGAAGGTAGGTTAGAGGGGGGCTTGAGACTTGGGATTTTGATAGGCCTGCCTGGGCCTTCGTGCTATGGACCATGGATGGAGAATGTGCAGTTATTTATTTTGTGTACTCAGTTTGTAAATGTATCCTCTACTCAATAAACAGGCTGCCCTCCTCTGGGAAGGCTGCCCATTCATTCTGACAGTCTTCCTTCCTTTTTAAGAGGTTGCCCAGGAAAAGGGACGGGGGCCAGACTGGGCCTGACAGTTTTAGAAAGCCCTTGACTCCTCAGCACCTGCTGTGCCAGAACAAAGTCCAGGTAGGGAGTGGGAGCCCCAGGAGTCTCTCCTTTCCCCTAAGCCAGGAGTACAGACAAGGAAATGCCAGAGAGAGTCTAGCATTTTTATTGGACTGAGATGGGGGCAGGGGCAGCAGCTGCAGAGAGCTCAGTTGGAGGCCATGACCTGGTTGATCCATGCGCTAAACTTGCTGACACGAGCGTACATGGCAGGTGCGCGCACATTACAGTTGCTGGTGCCCCAGGAGACGACACCAGTAAGCACCCATGTGTTCCCCCTCAGGCAGACAAGAGGGCCTCCAGAGTCACCCTGAGGGAAGGAGAGGGGAGCAGTCAGCATGTGGAGTGGAGTGCCCCCGGAGAGCACAGAGGACAGCACAGCTGCCAGTGCCCACCTGACATGAGGAGGCCCCTGCGCCGCCCGCGCAGATCATGGAGTTGGTGATTCTTGAGCCCCAGTACTGCTGGCACTGACTCACAGTGACCAGGGGCAGAGTCACCTGCTGCAGGCGTGCTGGGGTCACGTTGCCTGTGGGCCAGGAGGAAGTTGTTAGGCCCCAGTGCCCTGGTGACTTGTCCCCATCCCCGCTCTCACACCTGGATGTTTTGACCTACCGACACCACTGATGCGGCCCCAGCCGGTGGTGACACATGTGAGACCTGCGGGCAGCACTTCATTTGCAGTAGCCAGGCAAACTGGCGAGACCTGTGCCGTGTACCGGGCTGGGGAGGCGAGCTTCAGTAGCGTCATGTCGTTGTTCATGGTGTTGGGGTTCCAGCTGGGGTGTGTGATCACCTGTGGAGCCAGGAAGGGGCTGTGTAGGACGGGGATGGCCAGAGGCCCTCAGGGTTGGGATGCTGAAGGAGCTACGCCAGGGCGTAGCCTGTGTTCCACCCCTGAAGCCCAGGCCACTGGCATTGCCCATTCTCCCTTGCCACGGCAGCAGTGCGGTACTCACCCGAGAGATCGACAGAACCTGCACAGGCTCGGCGTTGGAGGATCGGTCATACTCGCCCAAGACAACGAAGTGGCGACCAGCGCTGCAGTGAGAATGGGGTTGGGCAACCACAGGAAGCAGGGCAGCGAGAGGGGCATGCTGGGGAAGGCGGTGGGAGAAGTGGGCTGGCGCAGAGCAGGTGGGGTGGAAGCACTCACACGACATTGCAGTGGGCAGCAGTGACCACCCAGTTCGGGCTGATGAGCGATCCACCGCAGAAGTGGAAGCCGGTGCTTTCCTGTGGTCAGGAGTCAGAAGTAAGGGTGGACTCGAGCTCCGCTAGGCCCATTGCACCGGAGACCCTGCCCCACTCCTGGGATGTATGTACCTGCAGGGACACCTGCCAGGGCCAGGAACCAGGCACTGCGTTTTCACCATTGACAATCCTCTGGTTGGCGTTCAGCGCGGGTTTGATGGCAGGAACACCGCAGCCTGGCCGTTGGGCAGGTGAGGACCTACTTTCCACACCCCAACCCATCTCTCTCTACCTCCTGGGTGTCCCCAGACTCTACAGCCCAGGAGGATTCAATGGAGGACTCGCCCTGAGAGCCTTCTTGGCCCCCATAGCCATCTTGGTTATCCCATGGGGCCAACCTCCATGTCCTGTCCATTCACCCACCTCCACTGTTCTGTAGCTCCACCCCACCCTCCAGCCCAAGCCACTTTTCTCCCTGACTGGATACTACCCTTGGGGCTTGCAGAGTACATTCTGTACCCTTCATGCCTCTTAGGAAGAGTCAGAGGGCTTTCTAAATGGTGTCCACCTGCACATCTCAGCTCCCAGGCCTCGCGCAATTCCTGTCCCATCTGAGACCGGCCATGCCCTCTTGCTTTCTCCCAGCCCTACTATTGCTGGCCCTTTTTCCTCTGCCTTCTCTGGCTACCCTGGCCCCTCTGAACTCCTGGGCTGGTGCTAGAAGTCACTGCTCCTGAGGCGGTTTAGTCAGGGCTTCTCAGATCTACTTACCCCAAGAGGAGCCGAGGAGGGCCAGGCTGAGGGTCAGGCTGAGCAGCAGCATTGTGGCAGAGGTGCGTCTTTGAGACCTGAGCCTGGCTTTATGGGGCTCCTTGTCCTTGGACCATAGTTCCAGGCCTGAGGCCAAACCAGCTGAGTGGACGCAGCTCCCTCCCATGCTCTGCTCAGGAGGACAGTCTCTAGGCCAAGGTTCCCCATCCAGATCCGCACTTATCACAGCCCAGGTGTGAGGTTCTCACCTCCTCACCCCCCAGAGCCTGGCTTCTGATTGGCTTCTTAAACTGCAACCAACTGCTAGAGCATTGTGTACCCCGGACGTGGTTAAATTAGGTCTATGGTGACCACCTGGTGGCTGGGATCAAGGTAGTCTCCCAGGGCTGTCAAGGATACCAGACTTCAGAGACACCTGCTCAGCACCCCGGAGGGAATGTCCATCTGTAGCCTGCTCTGCCACGGAGGTCCAGGGCCAGGTGTTCTGGCAGGTACCCATTTTGAACAGGTGTCATCTCATTGACTCCTCAGGAACTTGGAACAGGAGGCCTGTTTGCTGAGGGAAATGGTGGCTTCCACCAGCATATGGCACACTGGACCCAAACCTCTTCATGATAAGGTGCTTGGGAGGGGACTGGGGCACAGGAGGGCAAGTATCCTTGGTGACTGGCAGACCCTGCACAGAGTTTGCAGTGGAAGAGTGACCGCCGTCCAGGCCTTGGGGCTTCAGTGGGCCAAGCCCCTGCTGTCCACAGCCCATTTGCTGTTGGGCTATAAACTGAGTGTGAGCCCAAGAGAGACCCCTCCCAACACAGCTGCAGTCGGTAAGTTGGCTGATCTTCTAGGGGTGAGGACTCCAACTGAGTCAAGAACACATCAGTCAGAAAAATAAGAGGAGTTCATGGTTGAATAGAGGGTGGATGGGTGGATGGGTGAAAAGGTAAATATAATGAAAGACTATCTGTAAAGTCTTTGGAGGGGTACATAGGTATTCAATATAAAAATCTTTAAAGTTTTATGTTTAAAAATCTTTGTGAGGCCATCCCTGGTGGTACACTGGGTTAAAGCACCGTGCTGTGAATCTATTCTCAGCCCCTGCAGCACAAGTTCAGTCCCCGGCCAGGGAGCTGACCCACACGGCGCGGCAGACCTGACAGGCCTGCTGCTCCCATCAGCAGTGTATTTCAGTTGATCTGCCTGTTCTGTCCCTGCTCTGTCTCTGGTGAATCCTCTCACCCAACCCCCATGCCTCTGGCCTGTACCCCAGGTTCTTGTATGCATAAATAAATAAATATTTAAAAAATAATAAAAATCTTCATGATAAAGTATTGTGGGGAAAACACAGCCAGGGCCAAGGGATGTCCAGGTGGGGGTAGACTCTCCTCAGAGGTTGGGCAAACTCTCCTAATAATTCTGAAGCTCCATTGTGGCTTAGACATTCTCTTCCAGGGAAGGATGCTCCTGCCAAGTACTCAGTACCCAGGCCTAGCACCCTGTGGGTGCTTAGCAGAGATTTGTTGGATAAACATTCCATCATTTCACATGGGCCCTGTGGTCCCTGTAGCCCTGAAAACTTGGAGTCAGTCTCCCAGATTTGTGTTAACTCAAGTGTGCCTGGTTATCGGAGGGGTTTCACAGGTTAAAGTGTTGAACGGCTGAGAAATACTCTGGAAACAGCCCTTTGGAGTCAGGGAGCAACCCCTCTATCAGCATGTTGGCTCTCAGTGGGGTGCACGGTGGTGGTGGAAGGGGAAGGGGAGAGGGGGATTGACTGAGAGGTAAGGGCATTCTCCTTGACCAAGTAAAGGCTTAGTACCTGGGGCCTTTGGGCTTCACCAGAGTCCCGAGTGCACCAGGAGCCAAGAACAAGACACGGGAGTGGCAGGGAAAGCTTCTAGGATGTGGAGTCTGGCTGGGACTTTCCAGCTTGAATCTGCCATGCTTAGCAGGCACTGGAGGCACAGTGCACAGCACTGGAGCATGAGCGAGTGGCCCCTCTAGGGATATCTTATCTCTACGGGCTGCTTGTTCCCCTCTACCTGAGAATAAAACAGCCATCTGTTTTGGTGTTTGCATTTTCGAGGTTTATTTCCCCTTCTTCCAAATTCTAAAATCTCAGCCTATTTCACTCCACCTCCATGGCCTGTACAGTTTCTTCCACCATCTCCAGGGTCAGCGGTGTTACTGTCTCGGATAGGATAGCGGTGGTCCCAGGGGCACTGCAGTACCGGCCAGACCTGGAAGGGAGTAAGGTGGCCTCTCAGTGTGCGCGCATCACATGACCCGTCTCTTCCCTGTTCCTGCCACATTTTTTTCTTGCAGGCCCCATCTCCCTTGCGCCCACCTTTCTATGGGCTTGGTGGGTGAGCTGAGTGCTCGCAGGATCTTGACGCCGGTCCTGGTGATCACACACGCATCCACATTGCCTCCAGAGCCCAGGTCACCCAGGATCCCTGCAGTGATGGCTTCCACCAGCAGCGTCTGCGCAGCCTCCAGCTGTGGGGATGTGTGTGGGAGGCCAGATGACTGTTGGTATGACCTTCAGGCTCTAGGCCTGATTAGTCTTAATACCCAGATTACTGGCCACTGGCTCATACCCAAGCTCCTCTCTCCTCTTACACCCCTCTCTACCTTCTCCCCTGCCTCCCTCTCCAGAGATCCTGTGAGCCCACTGCCCCCCACCCTTTACAAACTGCTGAATCACTGTCACTAGTGGTCCTGCTTTCAGTGTTCTGTCCACCCACCCAATGTGATCTTGGTGCCTGGGCACCACCTTACTGCCTTCCTCTTTCTGGGCCGTAGGCACCTCTGAGGAAACACGCACCATCTACTTCTAGCCTCCAGCCAAATCCAGACTCCAGACCCCAACTGTCATTTACTCCTAACCAGTCTTCTCTGAGCTTTGATTTCTTTAAGGCGTCCACTGACTGGTCTGGGGATAGCACCTCTCCACCCTCTGGCTCTGCCCTCACCTCCTTGAGAAGCAGTCCCTCACTTCAGAGTAGGCCAGGGCTTCTCTGTGCTCCCCCATCTCCCTGTGCACTTCCCACACCAGTGAACAAACAGTGGGGAGCAGTTGCCACTTACCGTCATGTTAGGCTGGAACCGATCCTCCAGCACTGCCAGGGCGGCACTTTGGCCAGATCCTGCGGAGGAGGGACATCTGAAGTCAACTGCTGCTGCCCCTTTGTGGGACAGAGGTGATCCAGCTTCACCAGGGTGGGGCTCCTGGGGACGAGGCGGCAGCACTCACCCATGGCCGTGAAGGGCAGCCGGCTGTAGGAGCCGTGGGGGTGCACGCAGTAGATCTGTGGTCCTTTCACATCTACGCCACCCACCAGGAGCGACGCACCCACGTGGCCCTGGTACCTTTTCAGAGTGGGCGTGGTCAGCCGCCAGCCCTGGGCAGGCCCCGCCCCCTGCTCGGACCGGATCCGAGCCACGCCCCTTCCATGATCGGCGCCCTTTTCTCGGCCCAGTTCCTCTCGCTGTGGGCTTCTTCCTGTTTCCAGGGCCCTTGCAGCTCCGCCCTCTCTCCTGTTACAACCCCCTCAGCCCCTCCCTCCCGGCAGCCCCCACCCCTCCGTCTTCTGAGCCCCGTCTCAGCACCGGAAGAGTGTCTGGCGTAGAATTCGGGTGACCGTGGCCACACGGGGCTCGCGGCCAGTGGACAGCTCGTGGAGCTCCATGTTGGACGACGCCATCCGTGTGGTCATCGTCGTGTCCGCGGCCACTCCAGCCCCACAGCAGCTGAGGACAGAGGGAAGGGTCTGTGTAGGCAGGACTAGTTTGGGGGACTGGTTTTGGAAAAGGAAGGGGTGGTTCTTGGGAGGGGAACAGGACAGGGGAATTCTCACTAGATGTTGGGGGTGATGAAATGAATCTTGTCGCAGTTCTTGTTTGCCACGACGGAGTCGTCAGTGGCCCGTGTATCTGCTCCCAGGATGACACCATCCTGGGGAGGGGAAGACACCTTTGATTCAGGGCCCACCAGATCCCCCAGCTGCCCGTTTAAAAAAAAAAAAAAAGAGTATGCATACAGAACTGGGGTACGGGGCAGAGGTGCGGAGGCGGTGGTGAGAGGATTCACCAGAGAGAGAGTGGGGCAGAACAGGCAGACTGCTGAAGTACACTGCTGAGGGGAGCAGTGGGTGAGACAGAAGAGGTCTGCCGTGCCATGCAGGTCACCCCCGGGGCTTGGGATTGAAGTCATGCTGCTATGGCTGCAGATAGCTTCATAGTGCTGTGTCTTAACCCACTATACCACCAGGGAGGGCCCACCCCAGCTGCCCTTCTAAGCACCCCAGTTCCCACCCCCAGCTCACTTGGAACACAAGGCCAGCAATGGTTGTTCCGGTCTTGCGAGCGTGAGGGGTCCGGAGCCCAGGGACTATGTGTTCCAAGACTGCATTTCTAGAAACAGACGGGAGTGGTAATGTGATCACATACCCCAACTCTCCCTATCTTCCTCACCCGCTGAGTTAAGTCTGGGAATCCAAGTCCTTTCTGGCAACCCTCCCTCCACCCCCACTGCACGCACAAACACCACCCTGACAAAAAGGCCCTAACTCCCACTTCCTGAAGCCCGGCCAGCAATCACATTCAACCTTCTCCCCATGCTCACCTCTGGCAGTTCTCAAAGGAGAAGCCCCCTTGGGGCTCTAGTGCTGTCTTCAACATCTCTGGCACCACGGCCTGGCTGCTCTGCGGGCTGGGGGTCGATATTCAGAGGAGTGGGGCCACAAGGTAGTGAGGCCGCAGCCTTGCCTTCTGTGTGGCTCCACGTTAGTGGCTTCCTGCTTTCACTTTCACCTCTCTTTAGTAGATGCTGACTCCTTTCTGCATCTTTTCTTTCACTTTCAACTTTGCCTCTGGTCCTAAGCAGGTGGAAAGGAGATGCTGTTCCTTGCTTGACTCTCCATGCTGCTCCCAGGTCCTCTGAACAGAGGACACATCCCTCCTGGTTGTTGTTCAACTCCTCTCACTTCCAGTCAGACATCTGGCCAGGTCTCTCTACCATCTTACTGGCCTCCTGACAGCATCGGGCATGGCTTTCTTAGTCTTTTATCATCCTTCTCCCAATACCTTCCTTTAAAATATACGCATACAAGAGCTGGGGTATAGGCCAGGAGGGTGGGGGGGCCAGGAGGGTGAGAGGATTCACCAGAGACAGAGTGGGGAGCAGAACAGGCAGATGGATGAAGTCCACTGCTGAGGGGAGCAGCGGGCGGGTCAGGAGAGGTCTGCCGCGCCTTGTGGGTCAGCTCCCTGGCCAGGGATTTCAGCTCCTGCTGCTGTGGCTGCTGATAGCTTCATAGTGCTGGGTCTTAACCCCTTGTGCCACCAGGGAGCTTCCACCTGCCTCTTCTTTGTTGCCTTTGCTTCCTTCCTTCCCCTGGGGTGAAGCTGTCCTATTTCAGAGATGTATGTCCGCCTAGCAGTCTGGCATCCTGTACCAAGATACCAAGATTTATTTCACCCCTCAAATGACCCTTTATCTGTCCACATCTTTCTCCTAACTGCTGCTGTCTTCTCAGCCAGCATTCTCTCATCTGGCTGCTGCGCCGCACCCCTCACCCCTACTTCCCCGTGCTTCCCACCAGTCATTCCCTGCCCCCAGGCTTCCCTCTGTGCTAGACTCTAGATTGGCAGTCTAGTCATCGCTTTTCCTGGCTTCATCATCCAGCAGCTGCTCACTGCTGTTAGGCTCAAGCCCAAGTCTCTACAGTGAGTCAGGTTCCTCTTCTCATCCTTCTTATCTCAGCATAGGTGCCTCCTCCTCTGAGGAGCCCTCCTTGATCCACATTCAGTCCCTTGTTGCTCTCTAAATTTTCCTCATGGACTATTAGCTCCATTAGTTCCATTTAGCTCCATTAATAATTAAAACTTCATTAATGAATTGATCTAAGTAGTGGCTGTCACTAAAATTCTAAAACTTTCATGCTTCTGTCACCTGAAACACAAAAGGTCCTGTGTGTATAGAAGTGTATGTGTGTGTAGGTTTCATCTGCTGGATTTTTTTTTAAAAGATTTTTATTTATTTATGCATACAAGAACTGGGATATAGGCCAGAAGTGCAGGGGCTGTGAGAGAATTCAACTGAGACAGAGCGGGGAGCAGAACAGGCAGATCGACGAAGTACACTGCTGAGGGGAGCAGCGGGCGGGTCAGGAGAGGTCTGCCGCGCCATGTGGGTCACCTCCCTGGCTGGGGATTGAACGTGGACTGCAATGGCTGCCAGCAGCTTAGTAGTGCTGTCGTTAACACCTGCGCCACTAAGGCGGCCCCCTCATTTGCTCTTTTGGGATCTAGGGGGATACCTCAAGTCTTGGCTCCATGTACCTCCATCCCACACCTGTGTGTGCAGCTGGCTCCAGTCTCTATACCCAGGGCAGAGACAGGCCGCCTACGGTGTTGAAGCAGGAGAGTGAGAGCTGTATTCCTCAGACTTCAGCAAAGCCCGTCATGCTTTGTGCCCCACAGAGCACCAGGCCTGTGGCTGCTGCTGAGTGAATCCTGGCATGTGAGCCCAAGTGCGTCCCCTTCAACCCAAAATACACATCAGGGTTTACGGAGCAAAGGAAGGTCTTTATTCCGGGGGCAGGGGCCCTGGGCTGGCAGCTGGGGGTGCAGGGGTGCCATTACGGTAGGTGCCCAGCAGGATGGCATTGATATGCTCCAGTGTCTGATTGCTGAAGACCATGTTGAGGTGCTGTAGCCTGTGCAGGGGCACCAGGTGCACAGGCTGCGGCTGGCGGCCCTTCCAGCGAGCGCAGAGCTGGGTGCTGCGGGTGGCCACAGTGTCATCACCGTCCTCATAGAGCACATCCACGGGGTTCTTGTAGGGGAAGCCGTGATCATAGATGTAGGTGCGGGGCGTGGGCCTGCCCACACCATACAGACAGTATACTTCCACGCCAGGTGCTGGGAGGCCGGCCAGCAGGTCACGTGACTGCAGCCACATGTACCAGCCTTCTTCAAAGTGCAGGTCTGCAAAGAAGCGCTGGAAGTCACGGCCTGTGTAGTTGAAACTGGGTGTAGAAATGAACACGTGGTCCTCAGGCCAGGCCTCGCTGGAGGGAAACATCCAGGGGGAGGTTGTCGTCATGCGCTGCTCTTCTTTCAGCTTGATGCGGGACATAAACGGGATGCCTTGGTTGTCACCTGTGCACAGGAGCAAAGTGGGGCAGGGGAGCCAAGCCAGCTCTCAGCCTGGCCCCCAGCCCAAGTTCTGCTGGAGGCTCAAGTTGGGCTTGCCCAATCCAGACGGCGATTCCAAGCCACGGGGAGAGCAGGCCTAGCACTCAGCAGGTGCTCGCGCGCCTGGGAAAGAGCTAGCCCTGCTGGCACCTCTGTGGGGATGAGTGCTGGGGCTCCGAAAGGAAAGTGGGGACGGGTTTCCTGAGGCTGGGGTGTGTGTGGGTGGCGGGGTGGCACTGGCAGCTGTACCTCAGGCAAGTGTCTGGCAGCCCCTGGGGCTGCACTGCTTGGAATCAGCCGTTTTCCGGGAAGGGTGAAATGGGCTGTATGTGACTGGCCCGCACCGTGGTAGGCAGAGGAGTGTTGCCATCGAGGCCGAGTCAGGCTGTACCCAGTCCACACTGGGTGCCCCGCCAGCAATGGCTACGCCCCTTCTCGGGCCAGCAGGTCTGGCTTGGCTTTGGTAGCTCTGCCCTCACTAAGGAGGATCTCTGGGTAAAGGGGATGCTGGGAATAGAGCTTAACTGACAGCTGGGAAGACAGTCAGAAGCCACAAGTCCCAAAAACGGGGCAATGAGTCAGATGGCTGGGGTTCACTTCCTCACTGTCATCACTGAGAGTCGGGGCTACTCTAATGGTCTAGGCCAGGCTCACTGCACTGGGGTAAGCCAGTGCCAGAGCCAGAAGCTGCAACCCAGGGTTGACTGAAACACCCCCAGCCCAGCACTGTGAGTAGAGAGAGCTTCGTTTCACCTCCCACTCCTGACAGGACACAGGTGATCAGAGGCCTCTTACCTGAGGCCAGGACCAGCATGGGTTTGATGGAGCCACCCCAGGGAGCCCCGAGAGAGATGAAGCCATCGATGAAGCGGTCCTTCCAGGTCTGGGGCTGGCGCAGTAGAAAGTAGAGCACGTGCAGGCAGCCGAGGCTGTGCCCAATGAGGAAGACAGGTTTCCCATAAGCAGCGTACATCTCCTCCACCAGCCCGGCGAGCTTGCTGTAGTACTCCTCCTGCTGGCCTGTGGCGGAGCGGGGAGGAGGGCTCAGTGCAGCTGGGGTCAGGGGCTGCAGCCCTGCCCCAAGCCCATCGTCCACAGAGACACTTACGAGGCTCCAGCCGCCAGTCGTAGGGGGCGGCCCGCACCGTCTCGTCACGCACATACCCATTGTTGACCAGATTCTGCACCAGTGTGTGCATGTAACCTGTGAGGAGGCAGCAGCAAGGGGGCTCTGGCCAGGGCCCCTGCGGGCCCGCCACAGCCTGGAATCCTGTCCTTCCCCCCACATACCCGCCAGCTTATTTTTGTCCAGGTACTCAACAGAGTAGGTCTTGCCAAAGCCAGGGACACGGATCTGTACACCAGGGGCATTGGACACGCGCCCAGAGCTGCGGTTGTAGACAACCCTGGGGGCAAAGGGGCAGTCAGCCGGCCAATTGCCAAGGGTCGGGGGTGGATGGAGGCAGAGGCAGCGACAGTGGCATGTACCTGGTGTTATCAATCCAGCAGTCCACCCCAAGCGGTAGGAACATATTGAGGTCCAGCCAGATGGTGAAGAAGTCCTCCGTCTTGCGGTAGCACATCCAGTTCACCACATCTGGTTTATCCAGCTTGGCTTCCAGCTGATTCCCCAGGCAGCCAGGCACTGCGGGCACTCGCCTTCACTCTGGACCCCTCCCATTCCCCAGCAGCACCCCAGCCTCACCCCCCAGATATTGCTGTGACCAGTCTCACCCCTTCACCTCCCACACCTCCAGGCACTAAGGTCATGATCCCCTTTAAGATCGCACCCTCCTGTGTGTCCCCAGCAGCCCCAAGCCCAGGCTCCCCTCAGGCGGGAAACATGCAGGGGCCAAGGCCACTGACCCCTATCCCTGCAAAGCAAACACCTAGCCTGGCTTTCCATTACTGCCAAAGTCCAAGGTGAGAACAGTAAGGGAGGGGAGCTGGGCCACTTGTAGAGGGGAGGCCTCAGTAGGCCTCTCCTGCTCCCCTGCGGTGGGCTGGGCATCTTGCTCTTGGAGGGGTGGGGGCCGAGGAAGGAGTGGTCGGGCTTGGTCCAGTGTCCAGCAGCAGTAGGCGACCACAGCATGTATTGAATGCCCTAGTCACTCCCGCCGCCCGCCCCCCCCACTCCACTCCTGGGATAGACAACTCAGAGGTACAAGAATAGTGTGGTAGAGAAAGAGGTTGACTTCTCTGCAGGACAAGCATTTGGCCCCTCCAAACACGGAGGCAGGTAACAGGGCTAATGTAGGGCAGAAGGGCTTTGGCAGGATTTGCTGCCAGGGGCTGGGGCCCAGACTCCCCAAGATCTGGCTTGGAGAGTCAGGGGCCTGGTGGGGGCTTACCGAGAATGACGGGCCGTGTGTGGTTACTGAGCTCAGCCTTGGGCGTGGTGTGCGGGGGGAAGAGCACATTGAGGAGCCAGAAGGGGGCGGCCGGGGGGAGCAGCAGCCCCAGCAGCAGCAGCCCCCACTGCCACCGGGTGCCGGGCGGCCCCATTCCAGCCCTAGAGCCTATTGCCCAACGAAGCAGTCCCGGGCTGGCCTTATCTGGCGTGGAGGTGGGAGGGGCCCCACAGCCAGTAGGAGGAGCAGCCGGGCCAATGGGGGTGGCCAGAGATGCCTGAAAGGGGCACAGCCTCAGGGAGCAGGCATTGGGCTTGGGTTCAGTTCCGCCTTCTTCCCTTGGCGCCAGGGAAAACAGAGCCAGGGCAGCAGGAGGCCCAGAAGAACACACTGTTTTATTGAAAAAAGTCAGGCCTCAGCTGGCCGGCTCCATTTTGCTCAGCTTGGTGGGGTTCCCTGCCCACAGTAGCCTGAGCCAGGTCTTCCTGCAGGGAGGCTGGGTCAGACCCCATCCCTTACCGCCTGTCCCCTTCTCTCTGATGGTGACATCCAAAGAATAAATATGCAATAAATAGCGCTGCTGGCTGCTGCCTTCAAACCCCGTTAGTCCCCACCGGTCTTCTCCAGTCAGAGTGGGCCTTCTAGCGTGCTGATGGGCAAAGTCCCAAGCCTCAGGGTCCCACTGGACCTCCGATCCATTTCCACTGCCAGGCCCTGGTCCAGGCTCTACGGAGACCTAGCAAAGCTGGGCCCAGGGCTGCCCAGCCATAGCAGGGCCAGTGGAGTGGGGGAGGAAGCTGTTACCCTGGACACCTCCATTCTAGGCCGCACGTCTGTACTGGATTCAGGAATAGATGGTGATGACTTCACGGCCACCGCCACGAACTAACAGCACCCGCTCGAGGCCCTCAGTCAGCACCTCCAGGAACTCCATGTCTGCAGGGCATGAGGTCAAGGAGGCAGCACCAGGACCAAGAGGCACCCAGAGACGTTTGTCCCCCCAGTCGAGGCAGAGCTCCTGGTCTGACCCCACACTGGCCACCGCTCCCCAGAAGGATACAGTTCTCATCACCCTCACTGTTCTTGGGTGGGCCGGGCATGTTCAGGAGCACCAGGCGGGCATCATGGGAACGCGTGACGATGACTTCATTGAGCTTCACCGCGGTGTGCATGCGCCGCACATTGGACTGGTCCCTGCGGGAGGTGTGGCCACCCATTCCGGCCACGCTTAGCGCTTATCTGCCCCCATCCCACCTACACCCCCAGGCCCCAGGGTGGCTGGGTCCATTTTTGCTACACTTACGGCTTAATATGCACCAGCTCCCGAAAGTTTTCAGGGGCGTGGCTGGGGTCCCAGGGCTCGGCTGCCATGTACTTGTCCCGAGTCCACGTCATCTGGATCTTGTCGGCCCCGGCTGCAGACTCGTCCTCCTCGTCCGAGTACAGGCTCTCCAGCCGCAAGGCCGAGTGCCGGTCCTTGACTAGCTGGGCCTGGGCGCAACAGGGAGGAAGCCTCAGTGCCAGGGAGAAGGCAGGACTGGCTGGCCCATGCGCTCACTGGCCTCAGGGAAATAGGCGCTGACTGGGGGGCAGGTGAGAGCATCACTCTGGTGCCCTGACTTGATGGTGTCTGCAAAGGTCTGACCCTGCCACCCGCCCCGGGTCTGAGCCAAGAGGGTCACTGACTTCCCGTTCTCGCTCGGTCTTCGTCAGCCTCATCTGTCGCAGCATCTGGGACCGCTGCTCCATCATCAGTGTCCGCTCGTAGGTGTATGCAGAGATGTCACTGTTATGCTGGGGGGGACAGGCCGTGAGGACCGGGCTGCGAGAGCAGGGGGCCGCAGGGCCGCGCTGGGTAGGAGGCTCACCATCTCTACCACCTCCACCTCCGCCTCAAGGCGCAGGTGGTACAGGAAGGTGGCCAGATCCTTCTTCATCTGGATGCTGTTGTCGTCCATCTGCGCCACTGTGAAGATGCGCATCCTGCATTTCCTCCACACCTGTGGCGACAGAGCAGGTGGCTAGCTGAGTCCAGCTGAGCCCGAGGACCCAGCCCCCCACACCGGCCCCGGCACCCGGCCCACCTTGTGTTGGCGCAGCAGGAAGGGCAAAAGCATGAGCATGCCGCCGTCATGCACAATCCACCACACGTCGATGTGGCCCTCCAGGTAGCGCTCATGGTTGCTGGGGTAGAAGGCGATGTTCTTGGGCACAAGCAGGGCCAGGTGCGCAGCCGTGGTGCAGCGCACAGTGTCTGGGGAGGAGGGGCGGTGCTGACTCCCGGCCTGAAGCCCTTGCTCTCTGGCTCCGCTTGAGCCCTGGCCCCGTCCCAAGCGGGTGAGCCCCTCACACACCAATAAAAGTCTTCCAGGCACGTGGGTCCTCACTCTGCCGCCAGCCGTAGGGCCAGCCGAGCACCACGGAGTTATGCCTCATGCCGCCCAGGCCGCAAGACTGGATGAGGTGGGCCAGCCCCTCACGCACCTTGCTGGCCACCACCACCTGGCAGAAGCCCTTCACTTTCTCAATCTCCATCATGTTCTTGATTGTCTGTGGGGAACACACCAGCGTCAGAAGGCGAGGCCTCTCCTCTTTCCCAACATCCCTAGGGTACGCAATTACTTGGGGAAAGGGATGAGGGAAGTTGCCCCCCCCCCAGAGACCATGTTTTCCATATGGGGGGACCATACCTCCTCCCCCCAGCTGCCAGGCGAGGGTTGGTTCCCCTCCCCAGCTGCAGCCCAGGCTTTAGACCCCACACCTCTAGCAGGCACCTGCTCAGCAGCCTGCACCTCGCCATAGCTCTCCAAGAAGCTGCCCTGGATGACAGAGCCGACGATGGTCAGGCCCTTGCCAGCTTTAAGCTGGGAGGCGAAGGTGAGGAGTCGTGGGTACTTCACGTGAAGGTCTTCGTCGAGCTTCAGGAGCACCAGCAGCTGAGGTCTGCAGCAGCAAGATGAGGAGACAGGGCCAGAGGTTTCCAGGGAGTTCCTCTTCTTCCCCCTCAGCCCACAGGGTACCACGTTTGGGGACCAGGGATCCAGGGGCTCGGCAAGCCAGCGGGGCCCCTGGCAAACAGGGACTAGGGAGAGGGCACTAGCACCTCTCGACGCCCCCACCTCACCCTGCTCCTTAAGAACCTCTCGTGGCCTGGCCAGGCTGGGTGTGGGCTCACCGCCAGTTCTTGGTGTGCGGAGGCCCCTCTTCCAGCCGCAGCAGCGCGTAGCGGGCAGCACTCAGGGACAGGCCTCGGATCCCATCTCCCCACTCCTTCTCAGCTCTGCAGACGCCACCATAAGCTGATGAGCCCATGATCCCACCCTAGCATGCTGTGTGTGTGTAAGCTGATGTGGGGGTGAGGCACTGAGTCACATGCCCCCCATCCCAGCAGGCATGACGGCTAGCAAGGGCTGGCTCGGCTCTCCTACCCCAACATACAGACCACCCCACTCACCCTTGGTACTCGATGTACTTGTAGATCATGCCCGCGATGAGCATGGCGACCAGGGCATAGTACCAGGAGGAGACAAACATAAGGGCCAGGCAGAGGCTCATGCCCAGGAAGGACAGCGTCCTGGCCAGAGTAGGGAAAGCCAGAATCAGGGCAGCCCAGTAGCGCACCACACCAAGCCCCCTAACTTCTCACCAGTACTGAGCAATGCCCAGGAAACTCAAATGCCACCCACAGGGCGACCCAGGCATCCCCAGCAGGGGTTAGAGGACTGGGCCAGGAGCAGCGTGTGTGCTCACCAGTGATAGTACTTGAACCGGGGCCGCCAGTTGGGGGTCCTCAGGAGCGTCTGCACAGCGCAGGCCAGGTTCACAAACAGGTAACACATCAGAAAGAACCTGCAGCACAGGGAGGGGTTGGCGCAGAGCAGCCTCAAGGCCGCTGGCAGCTGATGGCCCAACGCTCCTCAGGCTGGGCCTGGAGCAGGATCTGCAAGATGTTAGGACCCTTTGGGGGTCCAGGCCATCTCTTCATGCTCCACTCCCACACCTACGGTAGAGGTGAAGACACCTCTGTAACAGGTCTCAAGAGGATGAGCAAGTGCTCCAGGCACAGGAGTGGGGGAGAGGGCATCGCGCAGGGGGGCAGCCAGGGGGACATGTGGTCAAGGATGGAGCCGGGGTGCTCAGTGTCCGTGTGGCCAGGTCCTCCTCAGGCCTGTGCCCTGGGTGGCCAGGTGGGTCATGAGCTGTCATGAGTGTGGGGTGAGGGCATTCTGATGCACTGCATTAGAGACAGTGTGCTGGGTGTGGAGAGCAGAGGACGTGCGCTCTTAGGGACGACAGTCAATGAGCACCAACGGCCACCTCAGCTGCAGGCGAGGGAGAAGGCAGGAGGACTCCGCAGAGAGGGCACGCGGGGGCGGGGGCTATGAGGCGAGTCACCGTAGAGGCGGTGCTCTCTGGTGTAGGCAGTGAGGTGTCACCACCCGGATGACTGTAGCAAGAAGTTTCATGTGCACATGTATGTGTCAGTGAGCTCGTGAACTGTGGGTGAAGGGGTATATGGGGGATCAAAAAGAGCACTGACTCTAACAGGACCTGTTGTGGCCGGGAGGAAGGCTGAGTCAGGGAAGGGGCCCTGTCAGGCCTGCAGGCTGCGTGGGGCAATGAAGGGTAGTCCCAGCGTGTCCACACTGGAAGAGGGAGCTCTGGCAGTAGAGCGAGATGTGTGAGAGATGGAGCGGGCCCAAAGGCAGAAATGCGCAGTAGGTACAGGGCCTCTGCCTCAGGGACCCCCCAGAAATTGCCCTAACAGGCTCCAATGTCCAGCTAATTCAAGAAGTGTAAGGCAAATTATGGAAACAGATGAAGCAGTGGAGACTTCATCAAGGCACGAGGACAGGGTGCTTGGCTGTCTAGGGGTGGAGGATGCTGGTCCCTACAGAGGGATATAGGGTGGACTGGTCTCCCCAAAACTCCTCTGTCAGTGCCAGGCCCACTCTGGAATGCAGGGGAGGCCCAGTCCTGTCAGGCCAACCTCCCGCCTACAACCTGCCTGGCACATCTCCAGCTGCACCCTCACTACCAGACAGGGCCACAGGGAGCTGGTGTGGGCAGCCCCGACAGAGGGGTGCTGAGGGTATAAGGAGCCTCCCCAAACCGCCCCCTGCCCTGTCCCAGCTCACATGGATAGAATGGGGGCCACCATGTCAAGGGAGGCGATGAGGATGCCCAACTCGGCGATGAGTGCTGTCAGGAGGAGGGCCCACGTTGGTTCACCATTTGCCTTCCCGTGGCCAAAAACCTGCAGCACCAGACT